ACGAATCACCTCCGTTCGTCCAGCCAGACTAATAATCGTGAAAGTCATTCACACGTTTCGATGAGGCTGAAAAATGCTAATATCAATAAGGAAATAGCGCACTGAACAAACACGGACAAACGGCCAGTAATTAGACTCCAAGGTTTACGTCTCTTCCCTGCCTGGATGAACATTATGGGGAAATGCCCCAAAACCTTCGCCAACAGACCGAAAATATGAGTTTTCAGTTAATACAGTTTCAGAGACAAAGTCTGCTTTTTAGGCCGGTGTTTTCCTTTGAAATACCGCTAACAAATTGGTGTTCGATTGTCCTAGTTACCGCTTGCTGATCTTCAGAACCTGGTATAATTTACTTCCTGTTGATCTGGAAAGTTTCTGAGTTTTCGAGCGAGGAATTCAACACGCAAAGTGCAGGCGAAAAATTAACATAAAAATCATGTAAATAGAACTAAAGCAAAAAGATCATTTCAAAGGTAGTATAAATAGTGGTACGGTGAAGATTTATTTCTAGAAAAACTGGAAAATCCTTTGCGGCTTATTTCCCAGAGTCCGTTGTGAATCATTTTGCATATTTTGATTAAATAAGTTAAGTTTGTTCAAGTGAATAAACGATCAAAAACTCTTCAATGATCCATTGTGTGTGTCTATAAAAGAAACAATTTATGATATGCCATTTTTGCCAGATATTGCTCAAAACAGAACAATGTTAAAACTAAACTTGCATTACAGAAAATGGTTACAGTAATATGTACTCCAGTGACTAAAACGAGACATGGAATTGTCATAGGAAGCACATACGTGTAACATGTCAGAATATCGCCATAATCATATTTAAACTGCAATGGAACATTTGAGTGCGAAACCTGCCCCGTCAAAGTTGATTGGCTGGTGTGACATTCCTCACATTCCTGTTTGATGAGAGGAATTCCGGAGATTGCACAGAAACGAAAGAAAAGACAAAATTGGGTCAACGTTGGAATATCGGTCTTTCTTCAATTTGATGCTTACGCCCTTTTGGACCCATTCTTTTCATGAAACTGATATTGAGGTGCTGACCTCCGTTTCTGTACCGTCCGTCAGAAGTGTCATGTTGCTTTAAGGTAAGGTCTGGCACTGCATTGCAAATCTAGTGTGTGGTTTCATGTTTCCTTTCCACAGAACGGTACTCGTTTATCGACCTCGGAAGGAAGAAGAGTGAGTGATCTCGACCGGAGCTTGAACTCAGAACATATCGGATCCGAGTTCGACGCCGTACCGACTTAGCAACCCTGGTCAGAAGCAATGTGTGGCAAATTCCTTGCTCAAGGGAGTTCCTCAGTAGAGCAGAACTTGTCCTAGAGCCGTGCTGAACTCTACACCTCTAGTGTTCGCAGCAGACCTCTTAGAAAACTGTGCCAACAGGCTGCACTTGCAGAGAAATGACTTCTGGTTCGTGATGATTGGCTGTTCGAGAATCGGGTGTCCGCCGGAAGTCAACCGGTGCTCGTCCTCTATAAAAGAAGTAGCCAACGCCAGAAATTGAGTGCGATACCCGATATTTTGCACAGCACATTATAATATGTCCAGCTGCCCATAAAAACTGTCCCAAAGATTTTGCCACAGAAGTAGAAGGCGATCAGGCCCGACAGCCGCGGAAGCCAACTAAGCATATTATTTGGCCGCTGTTTCATTGAAGATCATTTCTCTGAATCTACGTCAGATGCTCAGGGAGCCGGCTTTAGCACCGGACGAGTTCCGTTCGCAAAGCAGCGGCGAAAGGAGGTCTCTACCTCAACACTTGGAAGCCCAAAGTTATGAGCAACTCATCACATCGCTGATCTGGTAGTAGAACAGAGAGAGGCAATCAGGGATTAGGAATACTATTTTAAGTACCTCTGCCAAATCATGTCCAACGCTGACACCAGAAAATCAGATATAGAAAGAAGGACTCAGCGGTTCTGTGCCTTCGCCTCCAGTGCATTTGGCAGCCTGTCCAGCATTTCGGCGGAGAACGGATTACCTCTTGTAACGAAGATCTCTCTGTACCTTGCGTCTGTCGAATCAGTGCTTTTGCAAGGCTTGGAGACAGTCGGTCCAACGAAGAGGAAGAACGACAGTTGAACTCCGTACACCAGCGGTGATTTCAAGACATAATCAGGGCTAAATGGCAACACCGCGTAAAGAATGATTTCGTTTCCTTTTCAAATACAGGTGACCTCAGTATATGGTTAGATTAAGGAAATGAGGTTAACCCTGTTTGACAAATTGGTTGAGCACAAATCATTTACTACAGGCCGTGATATTCTTTCATAGGAACCGAAGCAAGGCAAACATCGACAGGGGTGGGGGGGGGAGAGGCTGCTTGCAACAGTCATGAACAAGATAGAGGAAAACCTAATGTCAGAAAACCCTTTTTATCTACGAGGTAGCATCCGGGATCTCATAAAATTTATTGAAAGCTGTGGATACAATGGACATCATAAACCGAAGATGTGCTTACGCAAATGGTTCAAGGTAATCACGACACGCACAAGAGAAATTTGCCAATGCCCTAGCAGCATAGAGGAGAACTGCTATATTTCATCGTTCTGTGAAACAATTCATATTCGTTGCTTGCAGACTCATCGATTTGGAGACGACGGTTATGAATTTTTGGTACAGTACATTAAACACTTAAGTTCAAAAAAATAGACAATACATCTGATTACTCGGCAAGGCGTCTGAAAGTCCTGACATGTGTTTTCTCTATTACGGGTCTTCTAGAAGTAATTGGATTCGATCAGACCAACAATGGTAATACTGTTGACTGTAACAGAAGTACTGGTGGCCGAAACCATATCTGTCTAAGAAAGAATCATTCACTGAATCATGCGCTGTAGTTTCTAGACGCAGAACAATATTTGCACGTGCTTTTCCTCATCCGATGAGGTTTAAAGAATGCTATGTTTTGGTCACATTGGATCCATCATCAGGGGCTATTTCAAACAGACACATAAATGAACCTTAAACGTGCCAACTTATTTAACCTTTGTGATTCAAAACATCCAGACACCATCGAAATAAACTACTTAAAGACTCCGCTGATGAAGAATCACGCACTCTCATGATGAATTTAAGTAATAAATTTTTTCAAGCAAAAAATATTTCAAGACTGTTCCGTCCGTCGATAATTGTAGTTTGTCGATCAAGCTTTTGCAAATCAACATGCTAAATGCCCATGAAAAGTTGTAAAACTTATTTAAATCCTCTAACGGGATCTTCGAAAATATTTTTTTAAATTGTCTTTCCTACTACACCTGAGGTATTTTTTTTCTAGCTTTGATTATAACAAAAAATGACTTATTTGTACAACGACACAATTTCACGATTATTCGGGTGATTCATAGCTTAGGTTGAATGATAACCCACTGCGGCAGAGACCCCGATCAGCAAACAAACTTTACCACTACATTTGACTTAACGAAGGCAGGTGAAAAACGCGCCAACACATCAACATCAGACTAGTTTATTTTTTGTTGAACAATTGTAGTGTGTCCCAAAAACAGCATAAAAAACCGTTCGTTAATACACAACAATAAACAATATGCGCTTAGCCTATCAACTGACTAAACTGTATGCGTTGTGTAGAAAAAACACCGTTTTATGCTGTTTTTCGCACGATCACCAACGCGTTACGAAATACTCAATCCGCAAATGACTTCGTCTACAAATAAAATATTTTGCATTGGTTTTAAAATTGCATTTTTGCGTAGATTCTGTGTGAATGTTGTTGTAGTGGGAAAATGAAGTTTCCGAAACTTCTAACTCACGTACACACTTTGAAACAGCTAAACAGTAACAAGCGGTGATCATAGACATGTCACGTGATGAAGCAAATGAACACAGCCAGCACTTTCATTTGTAGTTCATCCATAGAATAGCATAAGTTTTAACTAAAATCAATTTCCTAACAAACATCGCGCTTCATTACCACAAACAACGAAGAACGTCATTCAAGTTTAAACAAATGATCGCAGAATATTAAACTAAATGTTAATAAAAGGTAAGAAAACAGCCTCTGGCTCAGTTTTACAGAATTGCTTGCCCAGCAAAGTTATTAGATTAGGTACATGGGTGGCAGAAACAAAAGTTAACATTGCAAATAACAATGACTAAATGTGTTCAATTAGAAACAGCCTTAATTAACCATAAACGAAAAGTACGGTTAATTAAGCATTCGGAAACTTTCTGATGACATTGAAACAAAAGCAAATTAGAATCAGTTCATTCTGCATTTCAGTCACGTCGGTCACGGACATCGCCAATTGGGTGTTCTATTGACGTTGTATATAAGGACAACATCAAACCAGTCATTGTTCAAAGGGACGGCAACATGACGTATAAACGTAAATAATTTGTTCCTGCCCAAATTCTCCTTTTCTGTTGGCCATTCAAGGCCCACAAGTCAATATCTTCTCATCGCTTCACAGTGCTATTCATCGTTTTATCTTAACCGTATCATTTTCACGAGTCACAATCTTCCGAATAGAAAGCAGGGCGTAAGTGAACGTTTTAAAAATCTTTGTGGATTAGAAATGGATTTTCCTGCGAAAGACTGTCATAAGGCTTTTCCAAGCTTAATGTGCCTCACGATGCATTTAAAACTAACAGAATAAGTCAGTCAGTCAGTCAGTCAGTCAGTCAGTCAGTCAGTCAGTCAGTCAGTCTGTCTGTCTGTCTGTCTGTCTGTCAGTCAGTCAGTCAGTCAATCAATCAGTCAGTCAGTCTGTCTGTCTGTCTGTCTGGCTGTCTGTCTGGCTGTCAGTCAGTCAGTCAGTCAGTCAGTCAGTCTGTCAGTCAGTCAATCAGTCTGTCAGTCAGTCAGCCAGTCAGTCTGTCTGTCTGTCTGTCGGTCAGCCAGTCTGTCTGTCTGTCGGGCAGAAGAGTTAAGGAAGACCATGCAGGAAACTCAGTGAAGTTTGTCCAAGTCACTGCTGTTTACTGAGTAGGCAATTTCCTATGAACCTATGGCAATTTCCTATCGCCATGGTTTGAACAGCTGAT